TCAAAGTCGGGCAGGCGTGGGCCGATGAGCTCTTGAACGGGCTGGGCCAGAGTCACCACTTCCCTGTCATGAAGCAGTTTCCTGTAGAGTGCGTCCGCCCTGTGCCTCTTGGCCGTGTCCACGCCGTCTTCTGCTGCCCAGGAGCTGTTTAAATGCTCCTGCCACTTTAGCAACACATGGGTCTGACAAGGCACCATGTCTGGGCATTATCTATGCTGTAATGTAGACCTGAAAGAGAGGGGGACACGCTGGGATTAGATGAAGCACAAGCACAGAGAAACTAAGGACTGTCAAACGATTAATCACATTTAATCACGAATAATCATCATCTGATCCAAACGATGGAATATTAATACAGAAAAATCTCGAGAAAAATATGCAAGATTTGTCATCACAGAGTTGGATTTGAGCCGTTTCTGTGCATTTTGATAGTTGATCAAAAATGTTTTGCAAGTTGCCCTCAACCACATTAATCGGTCTACAGTCAGTAGCCCTGTCCGCCATAGACATACTTACTGCCCTGCTCTAGAAAAGGACACGAGATGGGCAGCTGACCTGAAGTTGAAAACCCCACAATCACGTGCTAGGCGTTGACACGGTATTTTAACCTCTGGGTGAAATAAAAACTTTTCAGGCAGCATGTGTAAATAACGTGTGTATTACGACTGTGTATTACAGCAAAGTGGATGGACAGAGTTATTGAATATACAGTGTGCATCATTCTGCCTTTACGTTAAAATACAATATCATTTTAATCTAGTTTTTTTTTTTTACAAATTCATTCCTAAAACTAAAATGTTACTCTTGACAGCCCTGTGAGAAATACAAAATAGATAGACGTCACTCATCTTTCACAAATCACAATGAATAAATGATATTTTCATTTTATTATGTTATTGACATCATAAATAATCAACATCGCTGCTGTGGGTTTTGATTTTGTGCCGCATGTGTGTTTTGCTCTGCATTTGAATTCTCATTTGGGAAACAAAAAAAAATCAAAAATTAAAATCCATCTCAAATACACATGAATTTGGAAAAAAAAGCTTAATTTAATTATTGACAGACAAATCATGAATTTTGAAAATTCTTTTTTTAGACCATAATTATCAAGTACAATACAAAAACGTATGGCCATATCTGGGATATTACACCATTAGCTCACCTTACATCCTTAAAGGCTGACAAAAAACATGTGCTATTGATTCATCCAACGCAGAACTATGTGTTGTTCTGCCGTATCTCACCAGTCTGAGCTTTAATTAAAATAAAAATGTAGATTTTACAGATTTATCAACATCATTAACAAACAGACAACATTTGCTGTTAAGGGCCAGACGTAATGCATCTCCCAGATAAGTAAACCCTTTGTCAAGGTGTCAGATTTCTCCCTAGTGTTGGCTCTGCTTCAGCATCTAGGACTGTGCCATAGGCGCAGTGTGCATTACTGAAATAGCTCATCTCACCCTGTGATTGCATCTAACATACCCACGCTAATGAGGGACTATTGTCCAACAATCCTCAACTGTGCTTTTCAATGCACAGCATTCACAATCATCTTCCTTCAACGCTGTGGCACTTAAGGAATTCCTGCCACTTACAGGGATTTTATATATATATATATATATATTATACTGTGGTAATTCCAACAACATCCTGCCTTTGATTCATTCATATCATCTGTCTCTCACTCAAAATGCAATCGTCATAGTTATTGTACGAATATTGATCTGAAACAGAATCCACTGCAGAGACCATTGCAGGTCTAATGCTGTTGTTCGGTGGATGTAGAAATAAAATGGTGGTTGCCAGATTCATGGCATGCTGGTGAGCTAACTATTCTCATGACATTAGCAACATTTGAATTCATATTTAATTTGAAAGTATGGGAAACCGTACATTTCACTGTTATTTTAAGTTAGATTTTAATTTTTACGTTTGACGTGGACAGTAAACTAAACGTGTGCGAGGAGCTGCTCATGTGTGGAACCGAACTCTTAACTGGACCCCGGCTATTGAAACTTGCAAGGAAAATTCGAACTGGCACGAGTGAGAGAATTTAAGTTACCGCCGGCCAAAAAATGTGACATGACACTTTAACCGTAGTGCAAAGTCACAGAGCCTCAGACGTCTCCCCTGTCTTGCCTCAGATCCGTGGGGATATATGGTTTCTCCTCTGACCAAGAATAGCATTTTTGCTATTTCTGCCTGTAGTTGACTACCCACGGGGCCAAAATACCAACAATGTTTGACACAGCCACGGAAGATTACAAGTAACATAAATATATATAGAAGACAAAAATATTCAGGGAAACCTGGAATTTATTGACACTGTCAAACTTTTCTTTCTGCTGTGCTACACTTTTCTAGACAGGACTATTCTCGTGCTCACCCAATCCTGCTCACTGCTGTAAGATTTTGATTTGGGCTGCAGATTTCAATTTCCTCAAATCAGGGTTGCAGCTGTGAGTTTTCATTTTCAGGTTTGCAGCAGCTCTGCACACCCCACTTTGGGAACCACTGCTCTAAACACACACAAAATTCTGCAAACATTTTTTTTTCTTTCTGCAGAAGACCATGTTTTAGCACATAGTACTTCCATGAACAACTTTGTTCAAGATAGACCCATATCTTAAATGTCACTTGGACACATCTTCATTAGGTGACTTTCTGGGCCGTTCTGGGAAACGGTCCAGAAGCGTTTTTATTGACCTTGTGATTTAAACAGTCCTTCAAACTGAGCTGGAAGATGTTGCTATTTCAAAAAGAGGCCATTGGGTTTGTTTCCACAGTGACCTTGACTGATAATCAAGCACCTTGTTCATGTTCCAGAGTATATTAGATGTAGTGTGTATTATTCAAAGCAGCATGTCTGACATTTAAAATAATTATCTTAAGAGCTCTGTAATTAGTAATGTTTTAAACACAAACAACGCAGCTCCACTGGTTCTTAGCATACCTGGGTGTGTGTACAGGTGGGTAAACAGTAGGCTATTGCCCACTAAATTTTCGCACAACATTTACCTAAAGATTTCTAGAAGATCAATTACAAAATACTACCCCCCGTAGTACACGCTGTAATTAATGTAAATCAAAATGACAAATAAAACATAATAAACATTATTATGCAAAGGGAGACTTAAGGTTTTCATAACACGTGATTTTGAAGGTTTGCCAACATTGTGACGTCACCGCTGATCTCCCAATGTTAAGTCAGTGAACAAAAACAACACCTATTGAACCGACATTATTCGGTTGTAGACAGACAGAAAGTACCTACTGAAACTGTTGCCTTTCAGGAAAAGAAATACTCATTCATTTCTTTTTAATTCAACTTACAAACTATTGATATTATTATTTTATTGGGGCAATTAATGCTATACATTTTGAACGCCATATTTAAAAAACAGTGGTCCCAAAACCACCGCCTGAAATACGGTCTTCTCACTGACAAAGGTCTGTACATAGGCTGCTTATTTAACTACGTCCATTTTTTTTAATTACACAAAAAACGTACATGTATGTTTAACATTGTAGCCTAACGTTGTCAGCCTAGTGACACAGAATCGCTATATACATCACCAATAAGAGGCACATGCGCCCACACACCATTTGACAGACGGAGTCACCAAGAAGTGACTTTATAACGCGTTCTACGCCGTGTCACATACACATTTGGACTATCAGCTATCATGTAATTCGTCTGCATCTCTCTGCAGTGACGGCTTGAGCTAAGACAGGCTGCACTGCAGCAGCACCATTAGCAGCCGGGCTCTGTCTCGGTCTCTGTCTCTGTCTCGGTCTCTGTCTCTGTCTCTGGTCCTCGTATGTTGTCTCTGCCTGTCTGTGCCGCTGCTGTCAAACATGGCCAAGCCCCTTCGCTGCTAAGCTGCTGTCAGTAAAAAAAAAAAAAAAAAAAAGCTCCCGCAGCCGGTAAAGGCAGCGCCAGTGTGTCTACCCTGAGTGTTAAAACATGAAGACAGGCCGTGGACATGCGACTCACCTTGACAGTAAACATCTGCCGTTAAAGACGTTTTTCCGACACCTGTCCCGTCTCACGGAGGTGCCGCTTCACAGCAGACGCAAATATCACTTCAACCTTCTCTTCTTCCCGTTTCTTCTTCGTTCCCTTAAGCTGCTGGAGCAGTGAGGGTGACAAGCGATGGAGGGCAACCATACCGCCCTCTTGTGTCCCGAGAGAGAACCACTGTTGGACCTAGAATGATTTTTAAGGGATGGCAAGAAGAGAGTAAAAATATTTTGAGGTGAAAGAACCTAGAGCTAAGGGGTATGTACAAATATGAAAACAAATAGTAGACAGAAATATAATTTTCACTCCACTCCTATTTGCCAGACTAATTAATAACTTCTATCAAGCGATAGACACTTTCGGATGGTGCTACACAAAGTACCTCCAGAAAATCGGATTATTTTAGTTGGGTTCGTGTTTTCTCCAATAGCTTTTAAGAAAATGCTTTTTCATCAGGCAATCTAAATAATGCAAAGAGCCCAAGAACCTAATTTACATTTTAATGACCTAATACGTATTTAAATTTAAATCTAGTTTAATAATCAAAACAAAATTATGCCAAATTTCTTTTTTTACATGAACCTTTAAATAAACTGCATTTGACATGTTTACCATTTAATTTACTGATGCTAAGGTGTATACAACCTCTGACTTTAATGTTAGGTTGGTTACAAATTTAATGCATAGATGTTTTAATTTTTTTAATAATTTCCACTGGTCTGTTAATAATTTCTAAAGTTGTTTTATTAGCATTCTCTTTAAATATATATGTTTTTCCTTTCTTCATATATGGAATATTTAATACGTTTTACGTAAAGAGCAAATAAAACTATTCGGTCATGTGCATGGATCTTTGGGTCAAACCCAGGGACGTGTCTGTCTGATTTGAGGGGGGGGGGGGGGGGGGGGGGGTCCTCACCCACACAAAAACAAACCAAACAAAGTATGACATCAGCTCAACCCTTTTTCAATTCCTGGATGGCAGTGTAGAGTTAATCCCACTTCCAAGCCGGATCTCTAAAAAGGGTCCTGACTGGCAAGAGGGACGACAACACCGGAATGAGGAAACTGACGAGGGCCAACCATGTGCAAAACAAAGTTGTTCATCGCTGATAACCGCGCAACATGAAGACCTGCAGGTCACTCCAGTCAAGTCTCTCGGAGCTGATGCGCTCGTCTGTCTCTTCCCCGACCTCCAACACCAAAGGACAGCAGCCTTCCACCACCTCCCTGGACTCTGTCTGCTTCTATCCGGCGATGTCTCTGCTCCTCATCACCGTGCTGTCCTCACTCCTGGTGCAGGATGCCAAGGCTTGGGGCACCGAAGTCAAGTACGCTGTGAACTGCCCGGACAAATGCAGCGTGGAGCTGTGCGGCGGGGCGCAGAGGTGCGCACGGTCAGTCCTGGATGACTGCGGCTGTTGCCAGGTCTGCGCAGCCGGCAGAGGAGAGCACTGTTACCGCACAGTGTCGGGGATGCACGGAGTCAAGTGTGGTCCGGGATTATACTGCGAGTTCTACAAGGACGAAGACGATTACGGAGACGAATATGGCATTTGTAAAGGTAGGATAAGGGAGCAGGGCAGCCCGGGGTAACACCTGCTGTCTCTGCCTGCTGCAGTCACAACACAGGGATGCTCTGCTGCACCACACCGCGTCATTCAGTCTTTCCAAGACCTCAACTTGTCACATAATAAATAGGAGCAAAATCGCGTCTCATATTTAGTAACGATATAGCGATATAACGATATACCGATTCTTTAAAATGTGATTTAAAACCACTGAACCCTGGTCATCACTTCATCACTGCTGCCCACGGTCACTCAGTCAGAGCCTTGACATGGAACCAAGAGGCGAATCCTCCATCTGTTCCATTCAGGTCCAGTTTACAGTATAGTGCTTTATTTCTGCTGAGTGTCTGTGTTGTTGTTGTTTGTTCTGTGCAGAATGTCCTTACGGAACCTTTGGGCTCGAGTGCCGCCAGAACTGCAGCTGCAAAGGAGGCATTTGTGACAGAGAGACAGGAGCTTGTCTGACTTTCAAATTCTTTGCAAAAAGTGCTGGGAAACTCAAGACTGAGCCACAAGCAGGTAAAAAAAAAGGGCGGGCAAAAAAAGTCAATTTTATTTTTCCATTTTTGACCAAATGAATTAAAACACAAAGATGTAAAAGTCAGTTTCTGCCCTGGTATCCTTAGGAGGAGAGGTGGGCTCCGGGGAGGTCAACTCTGCCCAGAACAGAGATCAACAGACGGACAGATCGACTGCCCAGAAAAGGCTCATCCCCCGCTGACAACTGCTGACAAAATCTCTCTGTTCAGTGTGAATGTAGCATTAAATTAAAAAAAAGAAGATGGATGTATTTTATTATGTTCGATGACGGATGTTTCACAGACTTGGAGAGTTCTATTCCGTCTGCTTGGTCTTTGTTTGACATATCACGTTATCTAATGAAAGACGGGCATTTGAGTTTGAATTGAAAATGATCTGTTTGTCTTCCATTGCTGTATTTATCTATATTTAGTGTGCCTTTATACTTTACAGACGAAGAAGTCTGAGGTTGTACTCTAAGAAGCTGACAAACACCGTATATGTTGTATAAGACACCAGCAAATGTAAAAAAGATCTAACAATTAAACCAAAGTTATAAATGACTCCTGTGTTTTTTGTTTTTTTTTTTAACATCTACATCACAGAACATTTGTATCGCTGCGTTAAGATCAATAAATACTATGCTATAAATACTATACAGTACTATGTAACTAAATATTTACCCTTGAATCTGAGCTGGACATTGTTTGAAATTTCTTTCGGCGTCACAGATTCAAATGTGGAACCCTTGGAAAATCTACGTGATCTTAACTGAGACTTTTAAGTCTTTGAACACTAAAATGTACATCTTATGTTTGCAATTATGCAAAAAAAAATTCTATTTGTCCTATTTCTAGGACTATTGAAGGACAAAATTTTTACTTAAAGTATGTGTGTGACTAATAGTATTTAAGACCATGTAATTCCTAATATAAGTGAATATATGAGTATAAATACATATATATAATAGGAATAATAATAATAATAATAACAATAGGAAATAAAAATACTCAATAGCTCTGTGCAAAAGTGGGGCCCGCCCCCCACTTTGGACAACACTGCATGTATTGGGCTGTATAAGATAGACCTTTGCACCTTTTTATTTGTTTTTAATATACTTAGTTTGATGTTCTTTTATATATAAAACTAGTCTGTGATTTTCATTTTGAACCAAAGATATAAACGTTGCTAATTGCTAATTGCTAATCCTTTGCTAATTCGTCGTTGGGTGACAATCGGTGACTTGATTTTGACCATCATTAGTTGTATTTTAACTGTGGGAAAACGCTGATTTAAAGGGAGTGACATCTACTATAGAAGAAAGGACGTAGAACATATGTATGGGATTTAATTCTGTTTAATAATTCTATGGGAAATCGGAGAATTATTTCTGTTATTATTTCTGTCAAATTTATTTATTTAAATAGCTGGGAAAGTATGGAGGAACTGACATTCTTGAGCAGAAACTATTTTTTGGATGTTGCTGGTGGTAACAGTGTATCAGAATACAGTAGTAGAACTGGCTTTTAATGCCAAGATCCCTGGCCAGGCATCCTGAGTCTGTCAGCTTCCACTAATGCCAGCAAAAATTTGTTCCCATGCAGAAAAAAAAACATCCAAAATACCATCACCGTCAGTCCAAAAACTGAAAAAGTGAAGACAGGTCCCCAGGCTGAAGAATGTCAGTGGTGGGAGAAAATTTGTCTGAATAGTTTTCTGTACTAGCTTTGAGTGGGATGCCATTTTTTATACCAATAAATAATAATAGACAGAGTTGTTTTCAGGTCGACGTCTGCTAATTAAATAAATATAATTTGTTTTAAGATCACTACAGTTAACTTTATATATATATATACATTTATATATATATATGTATATATCACAAACTTAAGAAGCACATTTAAACTTAAATTTCTTTGATTTCATTTCTTCACCTTTATGTCACACACTTTTCTAAAATAACTCTGTCACAGTCAAAAATAGCTCTTATTAGCCTCACCTCTGACTCCTAGTGGTGCACTAATGTTTTCCAGTGTCCAGCTTGTTTATTTCCTGTGCTTCCTGACACCTGTGAAAATGGTCCTTCTTCCTGTTGTTGTTGTGTCTGTCCGCGGCAGGAATTTTGTTCAAGTGACACTCCAAAAGCTTGGGATTTGTAACCAACACCAACACACAAACTGCCTTATCCTCGTGACTTCCTGTCCAGGTTTTTGGTTATTAGTTGAATGGATTCCCACCGCAGTCATGCTGTACTTCAGATACACGTTGAAGTACGTACAGTACCCTGACATTGAAAACAGAAAAATAAAATATATTCAGCCACCCTGATAAACGTTGTTAAGAAAAGTTTATCTTTACGACAACAGAGAAACTGAACTGTGTGACCAAACCAGACTAAAATATTCACACCTCTGGATCCTACAGTTGTGTACTACAGTATACAGTATGCTTAAATACTACTGTTTAGTTACTGGAGCTGTTTTTAATAGAGGTGAAGTGTGGTAAATCTCCTGTCCCTGTTTCTATGTTGTTCAGTGATGAAAACTTCTTCCAGTTGACTGTTGGATGTTTGTTTTTTTTTCTTTAATTATCTTTTATAGCTTATCCTTTAAAGTCAAAAAGTCTTAAGACAGATGTTCAAAAGTTTCAGATGGTAAGAACTAAAGGATCGTGAGACACATTTATCAGAAGTCTCCAACATTTTTACAGGTTTAACATCAATTTGTCTTGACTTAAATTTGGGCTGCGTTTGTTTTATTTGATCTGTTTCTTCAACACCCGAACTATTGAAATTTGAACTCAAACAGAAAAACAATTACCGGGAAATTTGAACTCAAACAGAAAAACAATAAATTAAAAATATTTAAGCTTATCAACAGTTTTTATCTGACTTCGTCTAACATTCTTTCCTAAAACTGATTGAACATTGAAAGGACCAGAATGTCTTTAGACGAAGCACTGAGGTGATTTCCGTTTCCTTTTTTGATCTTCATACATACATTAAAACTAGAAGATCACTGTATTTCATTCCATATTCATTTTAAGACATTTTTGTTTGATTGTGTGATGTTGGATTTTTCTAATGTAAAAATATGTGCCGTTGGAAAACACTGCTCTCGATAACCTTTTGACACAAACATTAGTTTTTGAGGCTGAGAAATGTACTCCGTTACGTTGGTTCACTTCCAAAGTCCCTACTGGTGATTTATGGACATTGCAGATATCGGCTCACGTTCCTTGCTTGGAGTTGATTCATGACATTAACCATAAATTAGACACATTTTGGAAGATTTGGGAACCATGTCATTCCTTTCCCTGGCCTTAATTTATAATCTGCACTTGGAAGATGTCAGCTAATGGACCTTTAATTTATTTTCTAATCATATACTGGTCGTTCTGTATTAAAGGATTTCGAACACCCACACAATTTATGGAGAGGTTGTTTTTTTTCACAGCTGTAAATGTAATTAATATGACAGAAAAGGTAATATGAGTATTTAGTTTGATTCTTTTAATAATCAACCTGTTTTATTTTTTATTTTTCGTAAAACATTAATTAGCTTCAGGAGGAATCTTTATAATCTGAGGTCAAAGCCACGTGTGCACACACATGTGGATGGATGCACTGCTCTCAAACAGGTATGTGAGTAGCGCTGTGTGTGTGTGTGTGTGTGTGTGTGTGTGTGTGTGTGTGTGTGTGTGTGATGGTATGAGAGTTCCTAGTGTGCAAATCTTTCTCTAAGTCTCCTGAGAACGGACAGGCCGAGGCCCCGCATCCAAACAAAGGACCCTGGAAAATAACAGGAAGGAGTTGGTGAGAAATACCCTTTATCTGACTCCCTAAACACGTCACTGCTGCCTCCACAGAAACAAAGGTGCGTGAACCCAGTAGTAAATAACACTGATTTACTGCAAATAGATGCTCTGGTATTTACAGTTTGGTCCGGCCTCTACAGGTTGTTTATTGTAGCTCTGGAACGACAAGTCTCATCGGACACGACGCACAAACACTCAGGGCCAGGAAATTAAGCAATTTGATTGATTTTGTTGATAGAAGCAGCCGATGAAAGTCAAAAGAAACATTGGAAGTCACGCACTGTCACGACACCTGATTCTACGAGTGGAATCAAGTTCCATTAATCAAATCCGGTGTTCTCTCCAGCCAAGAGTGTTCCGACATTTTTCTCTTAATTTTTTTTATAGTTTTCAGAACCGTAGGGCATAAAGTGGCAGTAGTGAAACACGTTGCCTTGACCTTGGTGACCTGAGGGACTGCTAACAGCCAGAGGGACCGATTGTCTTTTTCTTAACAATGTGAAGATAGTACCATCCTTTGTTGACCTTTTAGAAGACATTTATCGTTCAGAAAAATAAAATTGTTGTCTATAAAAGTTAATCCTCTTTAAAGAAAAAGACAATAATTAAATGTAAATATAACTGGAAATTTGAAAAGAAAATGACACTGTTTTTTAGATTAGGTTAAAGGGACGTACATATATGAATTAAAAATGAGTCTGAAAACAAACGACTCTCAGCTCGCTCCCTTCTCCTCAACTCATTGCAGACACAGATCTGATTCATATGCGACAAATGAAGTTCACTGAACACATTAATGTTTCATTAAAGGAAAAGATGGAGGTGACTTTCACTTTGTGGAGAAACCATTAAGGTATAATGATCAATTAAAACCACAAGGGGACGCACATGATTGCCTCCAATGCTCAGGTTTTCAGTGTCTGACCTCAGCAACTTTTTTTTCTTTTTTTTTATACCCCTGCTTTGCTCTTTATTGCCGACTGTAATGCACACATCACTGCGCTACAGAGTATATACCACAGATAAAACTGCAAACTTCTTACCTCTGCCTACTCTTTATATCCGGCGGCTCTTTGTTGCTCGCAGGTGTTCAGTATTTCTGTAGTATTTGTACAATATTTGAGAAGGAATTTAAAAATATTTTTAATATTTTGTTCCACAAGAACCTCGATAATTGTTGTGTCAAAGAAACATAACTAGGTTATTAATACAAGACGCCCTCCTTTCAACATATAACGACGTATAACATACGTACAGTATATTAGCATGTAGCATGTAGCATGTGCTAAAAGATGCGGCGCTGTCGTTGAATTTAAGTTTCTCCTAAATAACAGATAAAAACGTCTCGTTTTATTCTTTCCAATATAATGCTTATTTCGTTTATATTGTTTTACCTATGTTAATTATTATTAATTATTATTCTTATTGTTATTTATAGTTGTCCCTTGACCATTTCCCAAAACAAAAAATACTACTTGGACGCAAGTGTCTATTGTAACGCTTTTTACCACCACTAGGATGCAGTGTTGTACCTTTTATTATTATTATTATTATTATTAAACTAGTAACTACATGCACCATCGTCTGTTCGACATAGTTGCCTGATTAGAAAAATTAGGACTTACTGACGAATTAGGACTTAATGATACATTCTGACAACATTCTTACATGATTACTTTTAGTAACCAAAAAAAAAGCCTAGGGTTTAAAAGTTTTTATCCGATAGTAAAACACAAAATTTTATTTTTTAATTTGTTTTCGCCAGTTCGCCAGGCCGTTGCAGGGCCTTGTATTTTTTTTTCACTCACAATTAGAATGTTACAGTTAAGTTATAAAGTGTCTAGTTAAACATATGCTGCATGTTTTCTAACTGTGAATAACCATCATCATCACCACAGCGGATCGAACTGCTGATCTTTTTGCTATAAGTCAATAGCACGAACAAATCATCCACAATGTGGGTCCTGTAAAAAAAACTTTACAATTTGAAGCCGAATGCAGGAACAACAATAGACCACTTGATGGCAGCAGAACATTTTCTGATTGCCTTTTGACGCATACAGCAGATGCAAAGCAACAGTAGGTCGTGGACTTCAGACACCTGATTACTCACGAAACTGACTTCTTCATGTTCTAATACCACATCACACGGTTGTAACAAGCCCCTCTATAAAACACAGACGTAAAAAACTGCTCCTTAATGATTCACCCAGTGTCAGGACATGTGTCGCACCACTGTCGAACCACTGCGACCCTGCAAAGGATTTTCATTATCTTCCCATAATGTCACACGCTGTCTGAAACCTCTGAGTGGAAGGCCATGGGAACAGCACACCCATTGAGAATATTTTAATTCCCAGAGGCTCCCTCTGTGAAGATTCATCTGTTCCCTTCCCTCTGAGTTATCTCCTATCACACTGAGTCCCCCGAGAACTCTCAGGAGAGAAGATGCAGCTCCACGTTTGTTTACAAATGGATTGTATTTGATGTCATAAGGTCACGGCGTTTCATGTTCAGCATTCCACATCCAACAGATGTAACGTAAACACGCTGAGGGACGGCCGTGGACAAGTGTCTCAAAGTCAACTGTTCTACTCTACCAACATTGGTATTTAAATTAAATTCTATCTATCCATCCATCCATCCATCCATCCATCCATCCATCCATCCATCCATCCATCCATCCATCCATCCATCCATCCATCCATCCATCCATCCATC